TACCTCCAGGAAATCATGTAATCTTTTTATCTCAGTTTCCTCACCTGTAAAAATGGGGATAATGACAATGAGGCCTGTGTACAGTAAGTTAGCTTTAGAATTGTAGAATCTGAGAGTGAAATTCCCCTTGACAACCAAGGCAAGTGTCTCATGGCACAACGGTGCCCAGAGCACCTTGAACTTCCCCTGCCTAACATGCACCGTGCTTATATAATTATGGGTTTAATCGCCTCCCTCCCGTGTACTTGGTGAGTACCACATGGGGAAGGAGGAGCCTTGTGTGTTTTGCTCACTGCATTAACCCCAGTGTGTAGGGCCAAATAAGGTTCACACATAGCAATTCCTGCATGTGGCTCTTAAGTCTCTTGATCTATAGAGGAAAGATTTTTTAATTTTATGAAGACAGATGGTCAACTCCAGATTATCCACAGTGGTGGGTACAGAAGCTACCAAACAATGTCTAATCTTCTGTCTCTAAAATGCAACTCGTCTCCCAACCCTGAAGGAACACTATGTAGGTTAAGGCCCTTGTTAGCTCCTGGGAATCTTGAGATGCAGGACAATGGGCCCCTCTGGAATGGACCACACTCTACTGAGGAAACAGTCACCCCATGCCCACCAAAGCGTGAGCCCTGGAAGAAATAGCCACGGGCCACGGAAGGGCTGGGAGGGGGACATTTTCCTCCAGAAGAGAGGGAGAGGTAGGGTTGCTTGTTCCCATCCCCCACTACACTCTTGGATCCTGCTCTCAGTCCAAAGCCTTGCAGAACTGTTGCATAAAAAGAAGTGCTCCATCCACACCATCCACACCAAGCAGCTAATCTCTTTGCAGATCCAAATAAGTCGTATTCATAGAGCACTCACATGTGCTAAACAACTTACATGGGTTGTGCTGTTTCCTCCAGATAACAACTCTATGAGAGAGATGCCATTATTGCCCCATTGTACAGGTGAGGAAATGGAAGATCACCAGAAATCCATCACTGGCCCAAGGTCACACATCCTGGTAAACACTAGAGGCACATGCCTGAGCATGAAGCTAGACCTCCTGTCCAGGTCCAGAGAGGGAGCCGCATCCTGTACGCCTGTGTGGCTGCTGCGAAAGGCGCTGGGGCCAGCGGAATGTTGTACCAATGCTGTGCCAGGCTCCATGCCACCTTCCTCCCTCATTTAAAATCTCAAGACCTGAAAACACCCAGAGGCCACACAGCTGTGGATGCTTCTACTTCTGATAAAGACTTTTAGAAATGAGTCATTTCCTTCAAAAGGAAGAAAAATGTTTTTAGATTGTAGCAGAAATACTCACCCTCAAATCCACACCCACTCTCTAAACCTGCTCGGGTCCCCAAACGCTGTGCCAGGAAGTACCCGCTGCTGGAGGACCTCCATCTGGCCTCAAACCTCTAGGGCCCAGGGACCTGAGGTCACAGTTGACCACAGGGAACCACTCACTAGGCTCTTTCACTCAGGAGGGCGGGCCTCCATCTTCGATGCCAGGGGCAGGAACAGACCTGCCTCCTCAGAAACTGGCCGTCTACCTACGTGGTTGTCTTCATTTCCCGAACAGGGCCTTCATTTCTGTCTGCTTCTGTCTTC